CTTGGCAAAAAGGCCTTTTATATCGCACTGAATTCAGAGCAACGACAGAGAATCGTGAGTCAGCGCTTTTTCGAATTTTCAATTTCTCTCCCCGTTTTGGCAGCGCATCAGCATTTTTGAGTCGCAATAGATTGGGGGGAGGGTGGAAGGGGACGAGAGAAATGATAATGGTGTAGAAGTAGAATAATTGTGAAAATGATTAGATTAAGTGAGCAAATGAGCTCTCCAGTTGGGACGGAAACCAAAGAATTGAGGTCAGCATTCCTGACAATTATCATAAGAGCAGAGAAAGAGAGAGAGAAAAAGTGAATGTGAGGGAGAAGGAGAGGAAAAATCCAAACAAGCAATCAAGGTATGCAGGAAAAAAAAGATGGAAATGCTAAGACGGATAAGGGAAGTAGAAAGAACAGGAAAGTGTGGCACTTAGAAGCATTCCAGCTTTGTGCTTTTAGATGTTTTGTGCTGGTGGCAGTAACTTGAGCAGTTGTATTGCGTTTTTGTAAACGGTGCAGCATTCTCAAGCAATGGGGCTCAGTGTGCATCCCCCATCCGCTCTGCTTTATCAGGTCCATATCACTGCCTGTAGCTGAAGGAATTTTGAGGAAAGTGAGGTCCTGGAACAAGGGGGAAAGTAGAGAAGCAGAGCCCCATGTGCTGGATTCCTGAACCCCCGACACACACACACACACAACCATTCCCTTGCCATAAGCCACTCAGACAGGGATCTGGTTTCATGGTAAATTTTATTACACATGGATGTAAGGGGCTCCTACAATTAGGGAGGGCTTCTTAACAGGGTCTTGCTTATCCATCTGCTTGTTAGCCTGCTAGCTTGAACATTTCGTTCTCCCAAATTTACATTCCTTCCCAACCTTCCCTTTTCTCCCCGTGTCCAGTACCTTCCATTCCAATTCGAGCCTGCTTTCTCCACCACCATCTCCTCTGTCTTCCAGCACCGGCCACCATTCCTTTCTTCTTTGCTTTATGGCTCACATATGAACTGTTAGGTTCGGAGTGTGCCTCCCTGTTCCGTAGCCATCTGGGATCGGCTTTTCAGAACCCCTCCAGCCCTTTGAGGAGATCCGGTTTCCATGGATGCTCACCCGCACCTCCCTCTTTCCTCACGTATATACACAAACACCTCCCTGTGGACCCCTCGACATCTTTGAGATTCCTTCCTCCTTGCCTTCCATTGTCCGTGTTTTTGAAGGCACGTCTGCGGATTGCGTGAAGTTCGGATGTTCTGCCAAAGTAAATCCAGGAGGTATAGTGGCTCCTACTAATGTAGGGTACATGATGTCATTGGCTAGATCATCGACAAGGGTCGAAGGGCACACATGGACATTTGTAGCAATTTGTCTCCTCTCTCTCGTTCTCCCCTCCGGTGCGAGTTTATCTCCTGGCGGAGGGCCTCTTCCGCTTGGAGAGTGGCAACTGTATAACACCCCTCACCTGTTTTCAAAACAAAGACGTGAGCTCGAGCATTTTTGAAAATCATCTCCTTGTACTCTGCATAGTGATGTTTAAGTAACTGTGGCATGTTTTAGGAAAATTATGGCAGATTTGCAGTATTGCCTCATAAATCATTTTATTAACCCTGTGAAGGTTCCTCAGTTTGACTGAATGAAAAATGATACACTTTCTTTCTGACTGTGGAACCCAAACGGAGATGTTTGGAAGAATATTCACGTCGCTTTTTTCTGTACTTGCTGTCAAGTTTGAAAAAGCCCTACAAAATTAGTGCAAAGAACTATAATAAAAGTCTTCTGAAATCATTCAATAACTTTGTGTAAGGAAAAGACTGAATTCCAAAGGCTCATCATAAAATAAATTTCGTTCCAAACCTGTATGACTTACTTTTTCTATGGAACACGAGAAAAGCATTTCTTGATGTCTTTTTTTTTTGGGTTTTGAACCCTGTTGACTTTCATTGTGTGGACAAACGTCCCTCAAAATATCTTCTTTTGCATTCTGCAGAAGAAAGAAAGTCATACAGCTTTGGAACGCCATGAAGGTGAGTGAATGTTTTGGTTGAGCTGTTCCTTGAGTCAGTCACAATGTCAAAAAACAAGATTGCGCCCCAGTGCACATATACACACACTTGTTCGATTGTGCAGACCTATGAGCAAAGATTTCCCCAGTGCAGTTCAATAAACAATTTATGAGTCCCTGCGCCCCACTAAACTCGGTCGGTATCGAAAACCACTTCACTCGTGAGCTGGCAAATAAGCAAATACCACCTCCCCCTCGTTCTCGTTCTCTCTTTTGCTTTGCAAATGAGTTTCATGCTCTCCAGCGGCCAGAGTCATCTGTAGGTGCTCTGTGGCCCCCAAACCCTGAAATCTTACAGCCTTAAGGCAAACTGTTTGTTTTTACTGTTTTTTTTTTTTTTTTTAGTACACGTTTATTTTTTCCGATTTTTCAGGAGAGGAAATGAACGATGCATGTTCAGGCTGGGAAAGCCATGTATGCCTAATGTTAGCAGAGTTGACTGAATCATTTTCCCCTCCTCTTCTACATTTGATAACGTTTATGTTTTCTGTAGGTCTGTACCAGGATTTACATGCTACAAGCTGGAGAGCTTAAGCCTGACTTTCCGAACCCGCGCCCTGAATCCTTCGCACTAACCCACTGAGCATGTGGAACAAATTGTCTCGAATGGGGTATTTTCTTCCTCATGAGGTAGTGACAGTTGATCTAAAATGTTGCGTTTTTTTTCCAGGGGCTATAATGGCTCCCCTTTGTAGCGTCTCGGGCTCCGGCCGCCTTCTCCTCCATGTTGACTGCTGCCTTCTGTGGGGCAGAGTGAAAAACTGAGAGGTTGTTGAGTACAAGGTGTCTAAGAGCTGCTCAGAGGTTGTTTGTTCAACATTTTTATTTAACCTCTGACTAAGTGGCTTGTTAACAGGTAAAGATCGAGTCGTGCCTACACAAGAAATCGAGGCAACCAGAGGCATCATGCCTTGTGGGTATAATGTTGATGTCTGTTTTCTGTGTTTTCTCATGTCGTTTCAAACGTATATGACTTTGTTTCTTCTGTTGAGCACAGGAGAAGATGTTTTGAAGAATGTTTCAGTTGTTTTTGTTCATATAATTAAAGTCAGTGGGGTCCAAAAGAACATTGAACCCCTTTGACTTTCATAGTATGACCAAAAAAGCATTTAAATTTAAAGTTCACCCAAAAATGTCATTCTTATACACACACACAAAAAAAAAAGAAAAAGAACCAAACAGTTGTTGGTCCCCATTGACTTCCATAGTATGGAAAGAAATACTATGGGGTCAATGGGGACCATCAACTGTTTGATTGCCAGCATTCTTCAAAATATCTTCTTTTGTGTTTAACAGAAGAAAGAAACTCTTACAGGTTGGGAACGACATGAGGAATGACAATACTTTTTATTTTTGGGTGAACTATCTCTTTAAAAAAATCTGTTGTTCCACCTAGTAAAGCACGACATACAGGTTTAGAATGTCATGAGGTTGCATATTTGATGACACAATTTTAATTTTAGTGTGGGCTATCCCTTTAAGACACTAATTCTTACCTAGGCCACTTGTGTTGACATAATTCCGACCCAAACATGCACAATGGCTGGTTTATCTGGCCCATTGAAACCCACAGCCGCCCGGTGGTTGGTTAACATTGTTTATTACTGTAACAGAGGGGAGGATAGGAGAGAAAAATTGGGAGTGCGGGAGGTGGAGGGAAGAGGGTGAGAAAACCAAACAGAAGGAGCCCAACCATCACATTCTGGTCAGGGAGCAGCCGGGAAACAAGCCGAAGAATCCAGAAGGGCAGGGTGTGGGTCCGCTTTCGTTCGAACGTAATGTCTTATTGATTCATTTCAGCGCTGTGTGGTGGTGGTCAATTGTGATGGTGGGCTTGCCAAAAGTAATCATGTGCGTAATCATCAAGTAAAACTAAACAAAATGAGAAGTTGTGAAGAATGTTCATGCTGCTCTTTTGCATAAATTGGAAGCAGTATTGTGACCACTCCAAACACCATAGCAATCATATAAAAAACAAAAACCACTATGAATAGAGGTGGTCAAGTGATCCAAACAACTTGTGTTAAATTCTAAGCCATACATAAGCTTTGTGTGAGTAGGAGACCAAAAAGTAACTGAAACTGTAACTGAAAAGTAACTGGACTTGTCGTCTGTCCCCAAATGCCATTAACTTTTGCGTATATTCAGCTGGTTCTCTTCATACAAAAGTGTGAATAGCCTTTATAAGCTACAGCAGGGTAAATGATGACAGTTTTAATTTTGGTGAATTAAAACCATAAACTAAAGAAAAAAAGGTCTTCAAAATAAGATCTAAGAAAGCATTTTTTGCACAAATGGTCCGGTGGGTATTTGTAAATGTTGCATGCTGGATTCAAACTCATGCTGCCCACATGAGCACCCCAGCTTAATGTGTCAAAGCATGTACGCTCAGCCTCGTCTCCTACAAATTAGTGCATTTCTAATCTAAGAGGTGCGCAGACACAGAAACCTTGGGGCACTTGTTAAATCTGTGCAATGGTTTGAGCATGTGGAGGCTTGAATCTGTATCAAGCAGGGAGGTGAGTGTGCATATGTTGTTTATATTTGAGAGAAGCTGGTGTTTTGTTCTCTGTTCTCTACATCTCGGCTCTTCTCTCACTGTCTCTGTTATTGCTTTTTCACACCCTTCTCCTCTGGGTTTAAAAGATCTCCGTCGCTCGCTTTCCCCCTCCTCGCTCAAATCCATTCCAGCTGAAACTTGCGTGAATACGCTGTGATCCCCCTCTCGCTGTAGGGCTCGAAGTAATACTCTGTCTATCAAAACGAATATCAGAATCACTTCTTATAATGCTTGTAATTGAATTCATACAGATAAAATATTTGATAACTCAAGCCCCAAGACTACCAGGCTTAGAGTCAGACTGGGCTCATTTCGAAATGATGGGGGAAAAGTGTGTCTGTACGTGTGTGTTTTGGCTGTAGTTTACAATGAGCTGTATCTTTTACAGACACAGAACCGTATGAAGTTAATAGCTGATAACTACGAGGATGACCACCTCAAGGCCTCCAATTCTGACCAGACCAATCACAAACCCTCTCCGGATCAGGTGAGCCAATCAGAGTACACCTTACAGAACCACTTTGTTAGTTCTTTATCCTTTATTTCTTCAATAGGTTTCACTGATTGATCATACTTAGGGTTAGTGATTTAAACAAACCCTTAGCCCTAAACTAAGAATATGAGTTTTACCTTAAATTCTGTATTCCTAAGTGAATGGACTTCACACACATCACCATAAAAATGGGTTAAAAAAAACTTACACTGAAATGTACACCTTTCTTTCTTTCTTTCTTTCTTTCTCTTTTTCTTTCTTTCTTTCTTACTCATTCTGCCATCCGATTTATCCCTAAAGGCTATATTCTGATTTATAAAAAAGCCATTATAACCAAACATAAACAACAGGGAATTACATATTTCATATCCAATAAGGCACAGCATCCTCAGCTCCAATTTGTGTATTATTTCATATTGGGTCACCAAAAAAAAAAAAAGCTCACGTTTTCTCATCCATGAATGTGCGTGCACACACACATCCCTGAGTGTTTTTCTTGGAATAGTTCCGGTACACAGGATGATTCTGGAAGATTTAACTGGCTTTGTTCTTTGTTGCTTTTAAATGTTGAATTCCTTCACCTTAAGCCTCTCTCCTCTGGATGGCTGTCCAACAGGAATTAGTTCATAAGGAGAGAAAGAGGAAAGAATTGACACGATAAAGGATGAATAGAGAGTGAAATTCAAAGAGAAAGGACAGCCTGTTGCATTCTTCTGTCCCAGCTCTCCCAGGAAGCACAAATCCTACTGGTTGTTATGACATGACTTGATTCGCTAAACGCAGTGTGTCATACCTGTCCTGGGACTCCTAGTGTAATCCAGTTCCAAGTGCTACAATCCTAATTCACGTGCTGAAAGAAACCCATCAATCAGCAACACTCCACCCTCAACACATATCCCGGTATTCCCAACCACATATATGTGTGTATGTATGTTAGAGCTCATTGGAACTCCATCTACACACTCAGTCTCCCACGCACACACAGAAATCTGCTATAAAGCTATCCCAGGGTCTCTCCCCCATCGCAAACCCCTTTCATTGTCTTTCTTGATTGCCAAGAAAACACTTAGCTCACATTTTCCTGTGATCTTCATTTCTCACTTACATATTTCCAACTCAAATAAGAACACCCTCACACATCAACACCTGAGCCCGCTCCAAACCTCCCCGATTGCACTGTTATCACCTAAACATGCCGACTGCAGAGCTGGGACCGACAGGGACCTCAGACGACATTCATTGCAGGTATTTTCCACAGCCATCCAGGACAGACGGGGTAGAGGCCACGTGTGTTACTCATTTCAAGCTCATACTGCTATGGTTTCAATTCTTGTTGCAGCATAGCCACCCCCTTTTTTGGGTGAAGCCAGTTGCTTTTAATGCTGTTTCACTTTGGTTCAATGGCTAACTAATCACCCTTAACCCTCTGTTGAGAGATGGAGAAATTAATGGGAACGTAGTGTCTTACTCTTATTTACGACATTCAGTTTTTTTTTTCACTCCATGGGAAAAACTCACTGCTGCTCCAGTGTTTGTCAAAGGGAAAATTAGTCACTTAACATGAAATTTCAGTGCAATAAATGACCTGCTGTCACCCACTAATAACTTCTTTCTTTAATCCCATGCTGCCTTGGATTAAACCTGCACTCATTTTCCACCAATAGGACGATGAGGAGGGCATTTGGGCATAGCCAATCACGTGCCCTCTCCCAGCCATTTTGTTCAGAAGGGTGAGAAATGTATAAATGGGGAATGACGCTCTTCTTCTGTGTTTCATTGTGTGTTAACTGTCTTTGAGTGTGCTTATTTTTTTCTTCTCCAACACTTTCCAGTTCATCCTTTCACTTCTTTCTTCTTTTGGTCTTTTTTTCCCTCTCTCATTGTTCTCATGTCCTGTGATTTTCTTTCATTCTATCTGTTTCTTGTCTGCCTCATTTCAGCATATATATTGGTGCTGATTATTTAATCATTTTTAAATATGACTTGCAGATATCATTCACAGAACAGGTTGTCCGAATGTAAAGTGACGCATGTCAAACATTTTTCCTTGCTTTTTTTTTCCTCCCACATTTTCCCATTATCCCCACAAAAATAGGTCGCAGGTCTGTTCTGATTTGGTCAGCAGGGAAGAATAATGTTAAATACAAACAATAAACTGAAAACAAACATCAAATATAAAATAAACATACCAGAAGCATTTGTATTTATTTTATTTAACATTAAATGACATCAAAGGAAAAATAAAAGGCTGCAGAGGCTTTTGTATTTTTTATAATGTATGTATACATTTTTTTAAATGTATTATTCCAAAAAAAACATTTATTTTGACTTCATTTTTCTTGGTGTTCAGGACCAAATCAGAAAAGACCTGTATGTTGTGTTTGCAAAATTTACATATTTGTCACGTCTATTATTGTAATTTTATTGTCTGGCCATTGCAGTTCTTTCTAATATAAATACATTTAAATGCTTCATTTATAAGACCATTTTAGCTTTGTATGATAAACAATTTTGGTCCTATGATGGGTTGCCACTTCTAATATAAAATCTCGGTCCTAAAGCCAAACTAGCTGAGAAGTACTGGTTTGCATAGTGTTTTTATGAATAAATCACTGTAGCTTAATACTTTAAAATCACTTTTGATTTCGATAAATGACTCAAGCAGCTATTGAATTGACATATCCTTTCCCATCCCTTGTCGAACATCTGTTCGGGATTTCTGTCACGCAGATGGTTGAATCCTTCCCTCCACCTTTATTATTTTACACAGACAGCCAAGGAACAAATCGACCCGTCTGCCTTTTGACTGCTCTGGTCTTTTCCTGTCTTTTCCCTCCAAAAAAACAACAACATTCTCATATTTGCTTCCACACTGACAGTTTTGATGGATGGTTTTGAGGAAACAGATTGACCGTAGAATACATATGAGCTGCACATGTTCAATCCATAGGACACATGCGCAACCGCTCAGTGAGAGAACCCATCAGAGCCGTTGCCCCATGCTCACGGTGATGCTAAATGCCATGTGGCGTTTTGACTGTAATTAATTAGCAGGTCACTCCCCGTCGATGCAGCCCGCAGATAACACATGTCCGTCGCATGAACAGTCGCACGTGGTAAAGCGCATATACTGCGAGTGCAATTAGGCGTAACGGAGCGCTGGAGAACAGAGTGGAATTGTGTGAGCTGTGGGCCGAGTGTCTCAGCAGTGTGAAGGGAGGGTTTTAATCCGAACAGCTGCCCACATACACTGAGTCCTATTTCAGGCAACTAATGAGCCCCTTTCACTAATGTTTTTGCTTCGTTCGCAGTTCTTAACGTCTGAGCCGCCACGATACATTTCGAGGAAGAATTCCGATCGTCCGCTGCACCCACGGTGCCAAACCGTACATGTAGCCGTGACATTAAAGTTGCTCTTTGTGTATCATATGACCATGTAAAACTTGTAATGGCATTTAGCAGGGGAGATCAAGACCCCAAGGCCCCTGAATGTATTAAGGCTCACATAAAGGGCAGCCGTGTTCTCCGAAGCGTGTTCTCGGGGCAAGGAACTGCAGTCGTACGTACAAGCGCATGATTAGAGAGAGTAATAATCTCAACATGACTCTGATCTCCTTCATGTTGAATTGTGGGTGGTCGAGGATTATTTAATTGCTCGCCGTTTGGCACGATAACCCACCGCAACCCTGGAATCGGTTTCGGCTATGATGGAACGCAGTCCGTTTTAATCTGACTGTGTGGTGCATCGCTAGGTGTGTATTTACAGATGCTCTCTGGCCCTTGACTCTGTTTTGTGTTGTTGTTCTTTAGGGTTTTGCATTTTCTCCTGCGGCTTTGTGGATAATTGATGCATGTCTGCTTTTGTTGTCCTCTTCCATCATTCTAGTGTCACTGTGTGATGATGTGTGTGGTTTTTCAGTGTTCCGGAGTTCTGGAAATTAACACCCAAGAGTGAGGGAGCTTGAAACTTTCCGAGTTATTCCTGTTTCACTAACAGAATATTTGTAAGCTCTGCCTTCAGGTACTGTAAATGTCAAGACGGACTTAGCTTCAAATGTCAGGAGGACTGACAGAGCAGTAGTCCAGACCTTTTGAAGTAACTTGTCTTCTTGTCTGTTTGTCCTCTTGAATTGATTTTGAAAAGATTGCTTATCAGTCTGAGCCTGGATGTCTGAAGGAAGTGGGGGAAACGTGATGTCCACCACAAAATTGACTGTATCATAGGGCTGAAACGATTCCTCGAGTAACTCGAATACAAAAAATGATCGAGGGTTCGTTTAGTCCATTTACTGTAACTACAAACGGAACACTGTGTTTCCCCACGGATCATTATTACTGACGCACAGCCCGATATATGATGGCTAGTTATGATGTCCCTAAGTTAGCTATGTTTTGTGAAAGACTCCGCGAAAACTGTAAGCCCCGAACTGGATGCGAGACATCCTTGTGATCGAGAAATCTGTCAACCAGTTATTTCCATCCTAACCAAAACAGGTCAATCCAGCACTTTTTTTTCCTGTGCTGCATCTGCCTCACTAAATTGCTCATTCATCCGTCTTTCTTTTGTCACAAGTTTGTTTTCAAAGTGACTCACATACGACACGATGCCAGAGCGGGTGTTAGCACGTGAAGCAGAAAAGTAATGAAGACTCCATTGTCGTGTCACCTCTATTTGACGACCTTAGACATTACTAACCATTTGGACGGTGTGATTCCATGGAAAACTGTGAAACAGAGTTTGGCAGTTGCTCGCATGTTCCAGGGGTCAGTGGGTACCCGTCCCGCTGGAGCAACTAAGGTGCAACCTCTGCTGAACCCGTACCATGAGCGCAACCACCCACCATTTGCCCACATTATTAAAACTGACCCGCCCCTCAGTGAGAGAACAGAGACCTCGTTGCTGACTTGGTTTTATTTTTTTTTCTTTCGGCTCAAAAATGGCTCAGTGGTCAGAGGGGGAAAATTTCAACAGCTCTGTTTAAGTCATTAATATG